GCAGGCAGGAATGAGTCTAAAACTTTTGGGATGGGTCAAGGCAGGAGTCACAGGTGAGGCATTCATATCATATATAAAATCATTAAAACTGTGGGAGTGAAGGAATGGAGGAAGTTGTGGTCAAATTAACAGATTGAGTAGGAGATGGACTGGGAGAAGGCCAGTGTGAGGTCATATCTGATACCTAAAATTTTGTCTGATTATTGAGAAGTGAGGTTGTTTACTGAGGACAGCTGAAGATCTTTAGGAGGCCAGTGTAAGTGAAGGTTCAGTGAAATGGGAGAGGTACAGAAGGACAGCAGACTGTGCTATCTGAGACTTGAGTTGGAATGATTCCAGATAATGAGAAAGTCCTATTGATGGCCGTAGTTTGGGAGTGTCATAAGCATCAGGGAAGTGAAGCTTTCAAAGTTGAGGACAAGGAAGTCTGAGGCTTAATGGGTGGTTTTTCTAAGGATTAAGAGGTCACCAGGGTTTCATCCAAGTTGTTGAAAGGTCTAGGGAGACTGTGCCAATATCGTGAGTAGGGTTGCAAGAGATATCGGGGCCAGTACGCTGGTGATAATGAAGCGTGGTGAACAGTGTAGACAGCCAGCATTAATCACAAGTCAGGAGGGACTTTCAGCTTTAAATTGCTGGACCCGGAAAACCCAGCCAATGGAGAAGAGAACACTCGTGACTCTAGGAAGCTGAGGAGCAGGGAGTGCTCTTGGAGGAGGAATGAGGTGTCTCTTAGGACATGAGAGGGAGGAGGGGATTAGGAACAGAGGAGTGTTTGTTTCCCATGAAATGTATGTCCCAGAAGATGAAGAGGGGAAATTTTGGAGGGCAGAATATGACAAAAGGGAGAAAGAAAGCACAGAATAATCCTTGGATGTGAATATAGCTGGGGAAATTTTAGTTCAGGTGACAGTCAATAATGCTAGTTTCAACCTTGCCTGCAATTTTGAATTGTTTCTTTTGGTGTATGTTCTAATTAGCTAGAAAATGTCTCCATATTCAAAGTGTATGGGTATGATACTTTTTGAAAACATCTCAAGATGTCCTCTTATTGCCTTTAAATGGATCTAGCAATTTAGGACACATCGTATTTTCCAGAAGTTTGTCATTTAACATTGTCGAGGACAAACCTGAAAGCAGCCTTATTTTATTCCTTTTAGACATTTTAATTATTCTTTTTAAACACGAATGGGATTTGCTTTCTTTTCATTTTTGATGTTTAAAAGTTTACTGGGAATACATCTAAATGTTTGTCTCTTTAACTTTTCCTATGCTCACTAAATCCTTTCAATCAACAAATCCCGCTCTTAAGCCTAGAACATTTTTTTTCTTTTGTGTACTTAGTTATTGCTTCTATTATATTTGTTTAGGTTTCTTCTTAAGGAAAATCAAGTATGTGTAAATATTGTTCTCTATCCCTCTCATTTCATTACACATGATATTTGCCTTTCTTTATAGAATAACTTTTAGGGAAATTTATTTGTCAATGTGTTCTGTGTCACTGATTCAATTTTCCGCAGTATCAGTTTTCTCTTTCTGGCTTTGAACAGAAATTTAAATGTTGGTATTGCATTTCAGCTTCCTATCAGTATTTCCTTATCTTCTTTTTTTTTTAAATCTCTGTCTGCAGTTATATGTTTTTAACATAGGTTAGCCTATCTCCTCTCTCATTTCTTTTTGGTTCATAGAATCCATTTTATTTTTATTGGCAAGTTAGCCACAATGTAAAATTTGAACGTTTTCAATAATAAATCTTTTGTAAAACCATCCGTTTCCTCTGTATCTTGAATGCTGTATTCTTGTTTTGCATATTGAATGTTTTTCTTAAAATCATTTATTAATTCAAATTTAAATGAGGAATATTCTATTTTTAGGCTTGTCAATACATGAACTCTAATTTGTCCTCTCACTGTATAGCTTGGAATTTTTTGACTCCTAAAGAATTTTAGAGAGACAGGTGAAAGCAATCATAGCCACTGCTAAAATTTCCAGTGTCAGTATAATCCTGTGGGTCTCAGCTAAACTGACTAGTGACTGTATGTCTCATCTCTTTTCAAACAACTAAATAAGAACAATATTATTACTGGATTATTTAAATTAATGTGGACTTGTTTTTCCTTGCCAGTTGTGGAGAATTTAAAAGACCACAAAATCCAATGTATCTTTTCTGTCTGGTTCCTTTTAGCTTTCCTTTGTATCATGAGCAGCTATATTTTACAAACAGGATTCTTTATTCCTTTACCATATTACATTAGAATAAATTATGGTGCTAGGATGCATGTAGAAAGAAAAATTCTGAGAGATTATGAAACAACATAAGGAGATAACTCTGAGACAGGGGCAAGCGTTGTGGATGTCTTGAAACCCTCCAACATCTTTCGGATTTGCCTATCTTTTGTCTTAATCCTACCAATAGAAATACCACCTGGGTCTGGCAGACCACAGGCCAATATTTCAGTTCCTAGTGTTTTAGAATATTTATACCTCTTTTGGTATTTAATGGGATGTTGGAGGTAGAAAAATTGAATAACACCTAGTTAAGTACAACCTTAGCATGAACATTTGAGAAATCCACATGCTGTTTATTTAGTGCTTATAGATGGGTGGCCAGAGAAAGATGTATGACTTGTTCATACAGCTAGGGTGAAAACTTGTAAATGTAAATAAGAAGACAGAGGGAAACTCTAAAGAATGCCACCTGGATGAAAGAGGATGAGGAAGCAATGAATGAGACAGAGAAGGAGTAGTCAGGTTAATGGGATGAGAAGTTGGTAATGCTCTGAGAATAGAAGAAAACATTCTGCAAAGATAAGTCTGTGTAAAGATATGAAATGCTTGGTGGAGAAGTCAAGAGGGATGAACTCTTGAAAAGATCACTTACCTTGGGAATTGGTATGACATTGACCACCTTTGAAGGGGAACTATAACTTTAGCAAAGTTGGTTGAATTAATCTTTTTTGAAGAAACAAGTGGGAAAGTAAGTGATGGTAAGGAAGAAACTTAGGTGAATGTCAGTTTTCTGTGTCATAGTAAATAATGGGTAAACTAACATCAGTAAATATTTAGTTGTTTTATTTTCAACAGAGTACAATGTTTTCTTCCATGGCAGCATTTAAAGAATGTTATTTTAAGTAATGGTAACCCATGCCTTTCAAGGCCTTTCAAATAATTTCAGTTTAAAATGACCTTAATCATATTACTATACACACTGATTCATACCAAATTGATAACTAAAATGTACAGGGGAAATTAAGCAAGAAATGCTTTTGGATATTTGCATCATTTTTTATTTTACTTTATTATTATTATTTTTTGTATTTTCATTGATTTCAGAGAGGAAGGGAGAGGGAGAAAGAGATAGAAACATAAATGATGAGAATCATTGATTGGCTGCCTCCTGCATGGCTTCCACTTGGGATCAAGCCTGCAACCCGGGCATGTGCCCTGACCAGGAATCGAACCGTGACCTTCCTGGTTCACAAGTTGACACTCAACCACTGAGCCACACCAGCTGGACTATTTGCATTATTTTTTATATAAGGTGACCTGTAGATTTTTCTGAGTATACCTAATAACTTCATGAATTTAGTTTTTTATGAATCTTGAAATCACATTAGAGAGCATGTATTTACATATATATTTGTTTATTTGTTTGAACAGAACATAAAGGAACAAGGAGGGATTTGAGAAGCTATGATAAGCCTTGGCAATTAAATGCAAAGAAGCCCAAAAAGTCAAAAAGTGACCTTGCTGTCTCTAATATTTCTCCACCGTCACCAGAATCCAAATCATGTAAGGAAGTTTGTTATTCAAAAAATTACTTAATGTATATGTAAGTCTGTGTTATTAACAAAATGAAGAAAAGGTAAGAATTGAAGCCAAATGTTTTATCTGATATTTCTGGCTATTAATCGTAATGCACTTTGTATTTATTTCAGCATTAACATTGAGCTTTATTTCTGTTTAGTAACTTATTCATATTCTTTTTTTAATGTATTTTTTATTGTTGACAGTATTACAGCTATCTCTATCTCCTCCCCGCTTTGCCCCCCTCCACCCTGCCCCTCCATGTGTAATAGATTTAGACCTTTTGGAGCATTCTCTTTTAAGGATGTATTTTGCCTAGAATGGGTCCCTTGCCTCTCGTGGCCAGTTGCAGCACTGTATTACATTCAAAGCAACACCCACCCTACATTTAAAAAAGTACATAAAAGCAAATTAAATCTATTAGAGGAGGAGCAAATGATATTTGTATTAAAACATTTAACAAAATTTTATGAAGTCCTTCACCTATTATTTCCCTGAAGTCCTACTTATTATTTATTACTGAAGCTCCTGTATTTACTTCTGTTTCGTTCTCTCTTTCTCTCTTTTCCTCCCTCCCTCATTTTCTTCTTCTTTACCCTCCCACCCCCACCCAACCCACAGTGATAAGTCTAGAGGCTTACTGATTTTAAAGGGTCAGTACTGGGTCCTGTCAACTTTAGGGAAGAATGCTAAAAGGCTGCTCATTCTGAAGAGTCTGGGCTCCTAACAGGATGCTGCTGAGTCACAGACTGTTGCTGGTGATCTGGCATCTGATGGATGATACCTCTTTCTGTTCAGGTGCCCTACTCCCAAGTTCTGGTTCCACCCAACCATTACCTTTTTAAAGCCAAATTAATAACAAATTGAGCTTTTATAGTATATGTAGAGATTACATATATGACAATAAAAATACAGGGTCAGAATTATTAATTGGAAAAATGTAGTCAAAATACAGTATATTGTTCCTGAAGTAACAGAATATGTTTTGAACTTACACTGGGACAGGTTTAAGATGCATATTGTAATGTGTAAAGAAACACTACAGAGCATAAAATTTCATAAATAAAAAGTCAGTAGAGAGTTTAAATGGAATGCGAAAAGAAAAATATAATTTATCCTCCCTAAACAAAGGCAGGAAAAGAGGAACAGAGAAATAAAAGATTGGAAAGATAGAAACCAAATACCAAGATGTTAGGTTGAAGTGAAAACATGTCAATAATTACAATAAGTGTAAAGGTACTGAATATCTCAATTAAAAAGCAAAGATTATCAGGCTAGATTTAAAAAGAAAATAACTATATCCTTTATCATCCTAGACATAAAAATATTATTATCAGATATTAGCAGTTTTGTTGGTAAAGTCATTTGGAGGAAACAGTACATTTATTTTTAACCCATAGATAGGAACTTTTGGTGGAGGTCACAGTGAGTCAGAATTTGATTAGTATAATAAAGAATTGCTCAAAATTAGCCCTGTATACAGTATACAGTATACAGTATACAGTAGGCTGCTGTATGAAGTAGCGAGCTCCTATGGCCAATGGAGGATGCCATCTGCAGGGTACTATGGATGGACTCCTGCATTGGGGGTGAGCTTTGCCTCAGTGAAGTCATAGATGTGCCACCGCACATGTGTCATCTTATGTTGTTGATTCTGTTCTACTGTTTTCCATTTCTCCCGAGAATATTTGTTAAAATGTATTTAAATTAAAATGTATTTAAATTGTAGTTCTCAGTTTCAAGATAATTAAGTATAACTAAGTAAGGTTTTTAATCCATCAGAAACCTTTAAGGGATGCCCTCCTCTGGAGGCTGTGTCCTTCCATTATTTATCAAAACATCTTTTGAAATCCCCAGTGTAGTTGATTTGACCATCATCATGCTGTGGCCTGGGTTGTCCTAGGTTTGGCTTCCTTGATAAATTGGATATATGTGCATGAAAGTTGCTGAGGAAAGTCCTTGAGTGTTCTATCAGTTCTCTGTTCCTTCATATATCCTCCCTAAAACTCAATGGCTTAAAAAAACAACAATTTATAATTCCTCATGATTCAGTGGATTGATTGGGCGCTTCTTCTTCTGGTCTTGCCATGTCAGTGCAGTCAGTTGGTAGGTCTGTGAAGGCTGGGATGCTTTGGGAGCTGGCCATGTCTGGTGGTTATTCGGGAATATTAATTGGGGCTGATTTTAAAAACAAAAAAACACTATTCTCTTATTTCATAAATTAAAAGGAGAGAGAACTCTTGATAGCATATGTTAATTTGCAGGAAAATTAGATAATGCAGTGATATAGATTAGAGAAATTGTTCAATGAAGGTTAACAAGTGCCAAACAATCTTTTTTTATAAGTTTTTTAAAAAATATATATTTTATTGATTTCAAAGAGGAAGGGAGAGAGAGAGAGAGAGATAGAACCATCAATAATGAGAGAGAATCACCGATCGGCCGCCTCCTGCACGCCCCCCACCAGTGTCAAGCCCGCAACCCAGGTATGTGCTCCAAACTGGAACCGAACCCGGGACCCTTCAGTCCACAGGCCAAGGCTCCAGTCACTGAGCCAAACCAGCCAAACAATCCTTTGAAGGATATGGTACAAATATAGTTTTATCTGCTTCCTTTTCTGAGTTTCTCTCCCCCATGCCTGGGCTTGTTCCCAGAGGTCCCCTGGGGTAATAGCAGTGTGCCTAGAAGTCTTTTCTAGAATATCACACTCACTCTGTTCACTCTCCAATGTTTGATCGCCAGTGTGTTGATGTTAGCTGATATCTCTATCCCAGAATCCCTTAAATAAAAAAAGACAGAGGAAGCACTTGCATTCTATTTTTTATATTTTAGATTTATTTAAATTACAGAAGTAATATTTGCTTATTTTGACAATTAAAAAATACAGACATGTAGATAGTTTTTCTTTCTTCAGTCCACTCAAATTCTACTCCCTCAGAAATAGTTTGTATCTTTTCATAGCCTTTGAAATAGGTTGCATTTTTTATATCCTTTTCTTTTTTAATAAAGGCCTTCCCAGACAAAAAAATGGCTATTACCACCAAACCAGTATTGCAAGAAATGTTAAAGAGACTGCTGTCATAGTAATAAGCAATATATAGAGAGGGAAACATAGGTATAAAGAATACATCCTTTTCTTTGTATAAACTAACACAAAATATATATGGGTTGGCTTGCTTCCTAAAACTAGCCTTAAACTGTAAACATTAAATAACTTGATTTTATTATTTTAAAATGCATTGTGGACATATCTCCATGCTAATAGACTGGGATCTAAGATAAACTTTTTAATAAGTGCAGACTGTATCATAGTGTGAATGTAGCTTAATTTATTTATTCCCCTGTTGAAGGACATTAAATGATTTCCAGAATTTTTCCACCACAAACTGCTGAATAAACAAATTTATATCTTTCACTTCCTGATAAAATAAACAATCTTGTAATTTATATATAAGTATAGACATTTTTATTTATTATAATTAACCAAACATAAGATTGCTGGGCCAGAGGGTCATTATATTTTTATTATAATTGATATTGCCAGATTACCTTTCAAATAGGTAGCAGAAAAGATATTTCAACAGCCTTTCTTTCCTATAGCCTTACCATATAAATATATAAAATTTATTTTAGCTGTAACTGGTTTGGCTCAGTGGATAGAGCGTCGGCCTGTGGACTGAAAGGTCCCAGGTTTGATTCCGGTCAGAGGCATGTACCTTGGTTGCGAGCACATCCCCAGTGGTGGTTGTGCAGGAAGTGGCTGATGGATGTTTCTCTCTCATCCATGTTTCTAACTCTCTATCCCCTTCTCTTCCTCTCTGTAAAAAAATCAATAAAATATATTTTTTTAAAAATTTATTTTTATTGAAACAAAAATATATGTGGTTTAAAAAGTAAAGTAGTAGGTACTACTACTACTCCTCTGTTCTAATGTGGAACCACTTTTAACTCTACTAGATGTTGTTTTTGGTACACAGGTCTAAATAGCAAAACATACAAGGTACTTACATGTTCTTTTTTACTTTTTACATTTGAGGCATCATCTTTTGACCTCCTTCTAAGACTTTGTGCTTTATACTCTGGCCCCATCTCAGCATCCCCCTACAGTCATGCAGATATTTCAAATGTTGGTTGAATATATACTCTGCTTTGGTATTAGTAAGACTACATTAATTTGTGTTTTTCACAGTATAGCCATAAGATGTCCAACTATTAATTTATTAGCTGACTTTTAATTAGAATTAATAATTGACTTTTTTTCTGTTTGTTTTCTATGTATCCATCACTAATACTTCACCAAATCCTGTGTTAAACTATTAAACACTCTCAATATGATCAAATACATCAAGTGATCCTAATTTCAGTCTTATTTTATATTTTATACTTTATTTTGTTTGAAAAGTATTACATCCATTTCCCCTGTAGCTCTCTGTCCTGTTGCTCCAGTCTTGGCTTCTGGGTCTCTAGCTGCTTTTTCAGCTGTCTCCCAGGATTGTTCTTCACTGTCACCCTTTTCCTTTTTCTTCTGGAGGATCACCTATTGCCTGAGTCCCAAGTCTTTCCACTTTGTGTTTTGGTGGAGCACCTCCACTAGGAGCTTTCTGGGGAAAAAAAATGCTTGCAAGATAAATTTTGAGTCTTTACAAGTATCTTAATTGATCCTTGAGTTGGGTAGATAATTCTAAGTTGGAAGTACTCTTTAGTTGAAATTTTGAAAGACTTTCTCCCCCATCTTCTGAGGAGAACTGCTGCTGTTGAGAAGTCTGATGACGATATGATTTGCTATTTTTGTCTCTGAAAGCTTTTAAGATCTTTTCTTTATTGTTGTAAAATTTAGTGATATTCAATGAATTCTTCCAGTCTGAAGAAGAAAGTTTTTGTATTCTTATTACTTTGTCATTGGTCCTGCTTGATACTTTAATGCTTAAATGGTCTGAAATGATCACTTTTGGGGGGCATCTCTCTCTTCAGGGACTAGGTTTCAGTATTCTCTAGTTAGCTAAATTTATTTACTACTCATCAATTCATTTTGCATCTTCCAGTAAACTATGATGCTATTTCTTACCATCATATTAATAGTGGCTTCTCTCCTTGCTTAACTAATTCCAAAAAAATAAAAGTAAAAATTCCTTTACTCTAACAATTTTAGTGGGAATTTGGAATTTGAAGGGAAATGAAGGTAATTACAGTCATCTCTGTTTTACTAGAAGACAGCAAGAATGTCTTAGAAATATTTACTAATTGATGATAAAGAAGTTAGTGATTATTTTGAAGCTGCTAAAACAAACAAAATCTACTTTACTTTTATGTTTTCCTTAAATTCTAGAAATTATTAGTTTTAAATCAGTACCTGATTTTTCTTTTTTTCTATAAATAGCATCACACTTCCCTTTACTTGTTCATTTAAAACATTTCTTAAAACCCAGCTTTATAACTTCCCACTGCTTGCTCACAAGAAAACCATTTCCAAGACAAACATTTTTATTCTGTATATGATCTTATACAGTCTTTCACATAATGACGAATAGTAAGTTTTTATTACTATGCAGCATGCTTATGAAGTAATCATTTTTTTTAAACATAGTGTCAAGGTCAGTAGATCATCCTAAGTGGAACTGGCGAACTAAACCAGAAAGCCGTGATTTTGATGAATTGAACCACATCCTTCAAGAGAGCAAGAAGCTGGGAAAAGCCCTTGAGAAGCTCTCTCGAAGTAAGTTCAGTTATTTAATCCTAATTGAAATTCCTACCCAATATTAAAGTAGAAGCACTCATTAATATTGCTGGTAACCCATTTCCAACATCCTCATTAAAATTCTGTGAGAGGTTGAGGAGTTCTGAGGGCCTGGATTGGAACTGAGATTGGTCTTGCATATTACACAGCCTCATGGGAAGACTGGTTATACAGAGTAGGAGGAGCTATAGACCCCCATGGTTATTTCACCACCTCTCTCTGCAGTCTCTCTGTTATCAAGGTCAAGTGTACACCTAATGGTATCTTATTCATTCTTCTCTTTTGAACCTCTTTGTTTTGTGTCATCTTAATGAACACATATTCCTATTGCTTTCATGGGTTTTTAATGTCTCTACATTTAAGGATGGTAATGGGGCCAGATTTTTCTTAGAATCCTTTCAGAGCCTAGCATAGTGCTGTGTGATGTGCTTTGTGTAAAAGCAATGATTTATAATCCAAGTGCCTAGGTTAGAGGTTTTGTTCTGCCACCTATGACTTACTTTTGGATCAAATAATGATAAAGTGAGTTTTCAGTTTATTGCTATACTATATTCATGAAAAGAACCTTATATTAATATGTCAGAGGCTTTTATTAATATATACAGATCTTGATGAGATGCTATAGAAATGTTTGTTTATATCAATTAGCCTATGGTAAGTTGGTTTTATTGTATGTCATTTTGCTTAAAGTTGCAGAACCTATTGGTGACATTAGTCTGTATATGCTTTTGAAACAAAATGCCTAACATATCTCCACTTGAATTTAGCTCATTGCCATGCTAGATTCTATCTATCAGAGTAGATCCTACCTCCCTCTTCAAATGTGACCATTTTTCTGTGTGCTCTGTCTCAGATGGTGGCACCGTCGCTTACCAGTTCACCTAAACTGGAGCCCCTCTACACGCTTCTCTCGCCCCCTTAACTATTCAAAAGTTAATTCTTACCAAATCTTGCTCATTTTGCCTCAAAAATACATTTTGGGTCTGATTCTCTTCTCTAGTCCCTAGTTCACACTCACAATGACAGTGCCCAGATCATTGGTTTATCCATTTAACATGGCCCATTTCGTTCCTGCCCCATGTCAGGGAAACAGGTGCAATTCCTGCCTTTACTAAGCTGTGTCTGGCTAGCTTGCCATAACCGTATGTTAGGGGAGTTTCATGGCCAAAATCATGTGGCTTCATACAATACAATACTCTCTCACTCAGGGAATAGCTTGTGGAGTGAGCCAGTGGTGCAGTGAGCCTTTCTCCCTTACAACATATTGTAGCAACCCACTCACTACATTTTCTCTTGGATATTTTCAGTTCACTGCTGCTCCTGCATTCCTACATACTTTAACAATGTCATCTTAAAATATGATGGCTTTTAAGAGTTAATGAATAGCTGTGAATGTTGTGCGAGGCACTCGGAGAAATATCCTGGCTACTCATTGTAAATGGTTCCCATTGGAGCTTCATGCTTCCGGAAGGAAGCGTTTCTTTAAAATTCTTTCAACTGTTTTAGTTAGTTTAAACTTTGATTAAAAGTGAAATTACAAAAAAATGAAATATACCCTCAGTAATTTGACATTGTCAATAGGGAGCAGAAAGAACTGTATGCAATAGAATAGATACTTATTTAGATAATTTACTAGGCAAAATCATCAAAATATATGTGTTAAAAAGTATAATAATAGGTATCTCAATAAAATATGTCTGACCAAACACTTGGAACAGTTAGAAGCATAATTTTTTCCCCAAGGCAAGTTTCCAATTTATCTAGTTTGAATTTTATTGTGGGACCTATTACTTCTTAGTATGTTAATATATCTTCATAGCAACCTTTCCCTTCATCTCAATTTTTCATTGGCAACATTACTTGGCTCTGCAAAACAGCATCTGAAAATTGAGAGTGATGGACAGTGGATAGAGGATCCAAGGAGCTAGGCCATAAGTGATGGGCAAGTTCTGTATGACAAATAGATTTTGACTATTCAAAGATCTTTTGACTTACTTGCTAGTTCTTGGCTACAGTCTAGATAGGTGAATTATTATTATATTTATGAATAATGGCTTTATGAACTGAGGTGTGAAAGAAATTTAAAGATCAGCTGATAGCTTTCCAAAAATTTAATGAGAAAACTCTTTTTGCAGGACCAAGGGCATTAATGCAAAAAGTTTTTTAAAAAATCAAGTGTGTTTCAAAAATCTCAGATATTGAAATCATGGGTTCTATAATTCCAGGTATCTAAGTTTTATGGCTTTGGATGAGAAAGATAATTTTGTTTTATGTATCTACTCTCTCCCTCTTTTTAAAGTAGATTCTTTTAAATATTTAGTTTTACACAATATATTCAGTTTTAATATTGAATTCATATTGTAAAGGAACATTTTTGTTGTATTAAATGTAATTATTAGTACTTGAATATTTACTTGGTTTTTGTAAACTGGAATAATTATTTTAAATATATTGTACACTGTGACATAAACCATTTGTTATTCTATACATTATCGTGAAATCTGAGTTATTCCAAGTGACCATTTAAAATATTATATATATATACTAGAGACCCGGTGCATGAAATTCATGCATGGGGTGGGGAGTCCCTCAGCCCAGCCTGCACCCTCTCCAATCCTGGACCCCTCGGGGGCTGTCCAACTGCCTGTTTAGGCCCCCAACTGCCTGGGATCAGGCCTAAACTGGAAGTCGGACATTCAGCTCGCAATCCGCGACCACTGATTCCTAACTGCTCACCTGCCTGCCTGCCTGATCGCCAATAACTGCCCCCCCTGCCAGCTTGATCACCGCTAACTGCCTCTGCCTGCCTGATCACCCCTAACTGCACTCCCTACCAGCCTGATCACCCCTAACTGCCTCTGCCTGCCGGCTTGATCGCCCCCAACTCCCCCCCCCCCCGCCAGCCTGGTCACCCCTTACTGCCCTCCCTGTCAGCCTGGTCACCCCTAACTTCCCCCCCTTGCCGGCCTGGTCACCCCACGCAGCCTGCTGTTCAGTCATTTGTTCATCCCTCACTAACCCCCTGCCGGCCTGGTTGCCCCACGCAGACTACTGTTCGTTTGTCCGTCTGGTTGTTTTGGTCATGATGACTCCTGGCTTTTTTATATATTAGGATTTAAACCCGAATATTCATAAATGGGTACTTACGTTAGGCCTTTATAAATATTTATAATTGTTCAGAAAGCTTTGGGATCTCTTATTGGTCTTACATATCCTCCCCACAGCGAATCCATTATGTCTCAGAGTCCTCCACCACACACACTCAATGCAGATACTGGCCAGCTGCAATGCTACTCCTTCCTGAAGCCTTTCTTGAATTGTTTGAAGGAGCTAATTAATACAGCATGTCCTTGAATAATTGTTAAGCTTAGGTCACCCCAAATTCCCAAAGCGGTAGCTAGACATTTCTTTAGTGCAGTGACACATACAATTCCTAGTTACCAATAACTTTTACCAAAAAAAGAATTATATGGAATCTTGCTATGATGAATGAGTCTCAGATACACCTGTGTTTCTAGTTTTATCTACAAGGGAAAGAATGGTGCCATTTCTTGAGATATAGTAGGGCAATATTTTTCTGTTTTGTTTGTAATTGATATATTAGGTTATTGGAGTGGGAGAGGCTCTAGGAATGGGTAAAGTACCCCCCACGTGGCCACACCAGCTCCAATGCCTGGCCCCAGGGCCTATGTTCAGCTCTAGGCACAGCATCATTCACAAACAGGGGGAAATGATATGCAGGTGATGTCATTAGCCTGACACTTTGAGACTGAAATGCACTTAGGAATTCAACAACTAGCTCAGGAAGAAAGTCTGTGCTGTAGATAAAGACTTGTTTGTCATCACCATATAGAGAAATAACAATGTCAGTGGTATGGGTTAGATAGCTCAGGAAAGAATATCAACTTAAAGAAAGACAGCTCAGCAAAGAACCCTTGGCATTTCAGGAAAGGACTCCAAAGAACAGGATTCCTGTGGGGGAGACAAATCAGGAGATTAGAAAAGAGAGGGAGTTAACAGAGTTTAATGACAGAGCGTTGATGACAGAAAAATTAAGGACTAAGCTCTTTACATTGCTGATTTAAAACAATTTTGGAGGAATGGTAAAGATAGAAACAAGATGTACAGTGAGGAATGGTAAGAAGGGCAATTGTGAGGAAGAATCATTTATCCGTTGGCTTAAGAAGCTGTCAATCTAAGAGACTGGGACAAATTCCTAGAGCTCTCTAGTTTGTGTCCTCATCTGTAAAAAAGGGAATTAAAATAAATGATCTCCAACCACCATGCTGCCTTAATATTTTATCACTCTAGGAGTCTAAATCAATTCATAAGCAGGAACAAAATTGTAACGAGCTAAGTTATACTTGATTGTCATTATAACATAAAGACTACATCCCTACAATTATATGCACATTAGCTCTGCATCTAAAAACCAGTGTGGTACTTGTCTTGTTTTTGTTGCATCATTTGCATTTTTCAGCAGTTCATGCTGTCATAGTTGACTTGAATTCCTAATTTGTTTTCATGAGTAGAAAGGTTGTGTTACACTATTTTGAAGCACTAATAAAAAGAAAAAATAGAATGGAAAATACACTCATTTTACAAATAGAACTTTTGTCTTTGACATTAGGTTATTAAAGATTGCTTCTAAAACATTTTTATAAATCTCTTTTGAATCCCAGGTATTGCAATTTCAGATGAACTTGATAAGGTAAGTTGAACTATACATCTAATGAAAAGAACATATAGAATTTAGGTTTTAATCCACTGAAACATAAAATGTTCAAATATAATTTATGTTGCTAATATTTAAAAAAATTTTCAAAGTTATATGCTTAGATTTTTAAATGGAAGTTATTAAATGAAATATGTAATATCACCTATTCTTTTGAGTTAAGGATTTTCAAATTTGGCTAGAGAAAACTGAACCACTGTAAGCATTAACAACTATATTAAAAAATGAAAACTAATAATATTATGTAAACTATTTGGATTTTGCTTGTATTGATGATGATGGTATGGAAGAAACTTGTTATTTACTATAGCTGCTCTTTGAAACCTTACTAAGTAATTTTCAAAATATATTTTTATTGATTACAGAAAGGAAGGGAGAGGGAAGAGAGATAGAAACATCAATGATGAGAGTCATTGATCGGCTGCCTCCTGCACGCCCCCCTACTGGGGATTGAGCCCGCAACCCAGGCATTTGCCCTTGACTGGAATTGAACCAGGAACCTTTCAGTCTGCAGGCTGACGCTCTATCCACTGAGCCAAACCAGCTAGGGCTTACTAAGTATTTTTTAAAAGTAATTTTAAGATGCCAAGAGAATATGATGATGCCTTGCACTAGTGATAGTTGTGAAGGTGGTGGGAAGTGATATGATTAGGAATATATTTTAGCAGTAGTATCTTTGGAGCTTGCTATGGATTGGATCTGAGGACTAGTAGAAGAGATCAGTCAGTGATGATTCTTACGTTTGGAGGATGAGAAATTAAATGATCTGTGGTGCCATTTACCAAAATTAGAAAAACTGGGGAGAGAGCCAATTTGACAGGTTGGGATAGCATCAACAGTTCTCAGTCCTAGCCCTAGTCAGTTGCTCAGTGGATAGAGCATCGGCCCGTGGACTAAACAGTCCTGGGTTTGATTCCAGTCAAGGGCATGTACCTGGGTTGCCAGCTGGATTCCCATCCCTGTCAGGGCTCATGCGGGAGGCAACCAGTCGATGTGTCTCTCTCACATCGATGTTTTTGTCTCTGTGTTTCTCCCCCTCCCTTCTACTCTCTTTAAAAATAATGGAAATATATCCTCAGGTGAGGATTAGCAACAACAACAACAAAGAGTTCGCTTTTGTAATGTTTATTTTGAGTTGTCTGTTAAATATTGTTTATATGAGTTGCTGCTCATAAGAAAGTTTTGATTTAGTGTTACACATTTAGGAGTCAGTCATTGGGCTAGACGTTCTTATTTTTTTGGTCTTAGGATCCCAAAAAACTTTGCAATGTGTAAATTATACCTATTAATATTTTACCATGTTAGAAATTAAAACTGATAAAAAAGTTTACATGCATTTATTTAAAAAAATAGCAGTGACAGAACCATTACATTAAAAAAAATATATTTTTGCCTTATCCAGTTTGGCTCAGTGGATAGAGCCTCGGCCTGCGGACTGAAGGGTCCCAGGTTCGATTCCGGTCAAGGGCATGTACCTTGGTTGCGGGCACATCCCCAGTAGGGGGTGTGCAGGAGGCGGCTGATCGATGTTTCTCTCTCATTGATGTTTCTAACTCTCTATCCCTCTTCCTTCCTCTCTGTAAAAAAATCAATAAAATATATTTTAAAAAATGTTTTTATGAAAAAGTACTTTGTTTTCCAAAATAAGGTACTTATGAGAAAGTTACATTATTTACAGTTTAAAATAAATCTCTTTAATGCCTGGCTTAATTAGAAACTGCTGAATTTTCATATCCACTTCTGCATTCAATCTGTTGTGATATGTGGCTTTGGCTGAAGAAAAATTTTTGTCATGAGGTATGTAGTTGGAAAAGGGAGAAGCACTTAGAACTAGCCATCAATATTTGGTGAACATTGATACAAATATCTCTCTAAACAGAAAGCGTATTTAATTTGGCCTCATGCTAGATTTATTAGCTAGAAAATGGTAGAAATTATTGTACGAAAATGGGATAATGCAGTCATGCCATTTTAAAATAATAAACTATAATGTAACAATTACATTATTTATATAAAAACAATAGTTAGCATTTTTTCTATTCCAAATAGGAATATATCTTTTAAGTTTTAATAGAAGTACATATATGATAAAATAAATAAATAAAATTGATAAATATATTACTAAATATGATTTCCCTTTAACAAGTCATCTAATAATAAAATTACTTTAATTTCTATCTGTATTAATTCCATGCAAAACTAGATCATGACTATGTACCGTAGCTCATGGAGTAAGTGGCAGATGGGGTATCTGGCTTTGTCCTGTTTTTCTAGTCTTTCTCTGCAAAGCCATCATTGTCTTTGCCCAAACTGATCTCCTTATACCCTGATATTCCTTCCAGTTTGCAGAAATGTAATAATCCATGCTCTTGAAGATATACTCTAGGTTCATTTTAAGTACAAAGACATAATCATTGCCATTTCTAGGTTCATTTGTTCCTCCTAATATATTTTGCAAAGCCCTGGATGCCGGAGCCATAAATTAGCTGTGTGATTCTACTTTCCTTCCCTTTTTTCTGGGCCCTGGCTTGCAGCTGGGTTAGTCTCTACACCATTTTTTGGTGAGATAAAGAGCATAGTAATTGTTCTTTGAACTGAAAATGGATTTCACCTTCACTGGGTAACATTGTAGGTGCCCTGGGGTCTCCGAGGATTACCCCAGGATACATCTTCCCCCTTCCCTCCTCTCTTCCAGTATTAGCAAGAGTTTTCATTTAAATAAGTTGCACATATTGCTGATTTTAATTTTCTTAATATTGTATTTTAAAGACTTTATAGAAATTGCTGGAACTTATTGCACATTTATTATTTTTCATTTTCATTGAGGAAGCCACCAGTTGTCATACTAATGAGCTTTTATTGAAAAATATAGTTGTGTCAGTACAAAAAATTGTTCCCACTCACACCTGATTTTCAAGGGGGTCAGATAATACAAAAGAAACACAGCCTCCATTCTTTGCCTTCCTGGAACCCGTCTTGAAGAGGGACAGCCTGCCCCATGGTGCCCTCTGGTGACCACAAAACTCAGTTTTGCATTTTGCTGGGTAAGAAAAAGTGTATCTCAGGCAGGTACTAAAAGCAGTCAAACAGAAAAAGGGGACATCTGTAATACTTTCAACAATAAAGATAAAATTTTAAAAATCAGTCAAACAGAAAGGTTTACAATTTGTGTAGAGCTGACACCTTGTCTTTACTATAATAAAAATATATATATTCTTCCTTTTAATCTTCCATTAACATTTGGGGGTTCATTAAAGATAATATTCTTCTTAACCTTTATAAAATACTGGCCTCTAGTTAGATCATAATTTACTGTCACTCTAGTTAGATCATAATTTCATTGAAATTATTTATTCTGTGATCTTTAAAAGTAGTTTATGAATTCTATAAAAGATTAGAGTTATTACTAGTAATTCTATTTAAAATGAAATGATAAAATAAAACAAGACTGATACTATTTTAAAGCCTTTAAAAAACTGTGAATACTAGAAATTTCTTTCTGCTTAGTCACTATATTGGTTTTCTATACTGCTGCAACAAAGTAAAACAAGATGTCTTATTATAGTTTTATAGTTTAGAAGTTCTACATGAGTGTTCCTGGCTGTCATAGAGCTATATTCCTTCCTGAAGTTCTTTATGACTTTCAGGAATGAGCACAAATCACATAAAGTAAGTCATCTAGTAGAGATGGAAAGAACTGAAATTTTAAGTTAATTCAGAAAGGAAAAAGAACATTTTGATTTGAGGAAGCAGTTGAAACTCTAGATAAAATTATTTCCTTGTCCTATTGTAGAGAGTAAATAAGCTAAGGCAGCACACTCTTTTTTCCTCTTCAGGAAACAGTGGCATTTAATTCTTCTCTTCTAAGACCCCGTGTAATTGGAGAATGGATTGGTCGAGAAGAGAATGATGCTGACCCATTAGCAGCTGAAATGCTACAGCCCCCAATTCCAAGAAGTAAAAATGAACAATGGGAAAGTGAAGATAGCAGCTCTAGCCCCACAGGAAGGTAAGATGAGATGGTGTCTAAGATTCTGAAAATTATTAATCATTACAAGGTGAAGGGAAAATAAATCCAAGTGCATGATTTTGTTGAAGTAAGTCTTAGCAAATTTATATAGAAAATTATGTTGGACTCTACACAAGATAAAAATTAATTTCTCTGTTTTAAAATTAGAGTGCTGCTAGAATTGCTTTTAGATTTTGGTTTTGATTTTTTTTTCTTTACATCTAAAAAAATTACCATCTCTTTGTATCTAATACCAAATGGAGAAATAATTTCAAGGATATAAACTGTAGTTGAGATTTTCTGTAATATTGAGCCGGGAATAGCTGACTATTAAGAATTGAAAGAACATATATCTTTATGAATAAGTGTTTTCAAAATTTTCGGGTAGATACCCAGAAGAGGGATTGCTGAGTTATATGGTAGCTCTGTTCTTAATTGTTGACTGAACCTCCATACTGTTTGCCATAGTGGCTGTACCAATTTACATCCCCACTAGCAGTGTGTGAGGGTTCCTTTTTCTCCATATCTTTTCCAACACTTGTTATTTCTTGATTTATTCACAATGGCCATTATAACAGGTGTGAAGTGGTATCTCATTGTGGTTATGACTTGCATTTCCTATATAGCTAGTGAAGTTGAGCATCTTTTCATATATTTGTATGTCTTCTTGGGAAAAGTGTTGATTCATGTCCTCTGCCCCTCTTATAATTGGATTGTTGGTTTTGTTGTTGTTGAGTTGTATGAGTTCTTTATTGAAGAACCTTATGGAAGTAAATTTGCAAATATCTTCTCCCTTTCAATTGGTTGCCTTTTTGTTTTGCTGAAGGCTTCTTTGGCTGTGCAAAATCTTTTTAGTTTGATATAGTTAGTCCCATTCATTTATTTTTGCTTTTCTTTTCCTTTTCTTTGTGGTCAAGTTCATAAAAACCTCTCTAAGACCAAGGGACATAAAACAGAAATAGACACAGACAACAGTATGGTGGTTACCAGAGGAGGAAGGGGGTCAGGAGAGGATGAAGAGGGTAAAGGCAGGCAAATCTATGGTGACAAAGGAGACGAGACCTTGGGTGGTGAGCATACAATGCAATATACAGAGGATGTATTGTGGAATTGTATACCTGAAACTTACACAGTGGTATTAAACAATGCATTTAATTTAAAAAAGAATCTAAAAGGGAGAACTTCTGATGTACAAGAGACCTAATCAACAGGGGTAAGAAAACGATTAAATGTATAATAGACAATACAAGGCAGTGTTAATGTGGAATATAGAGAAAAAAGAAAACCCTTGGTTAAAACCATTTAAGTTTAGGGTTGATAACTATGACTGCATATACATTTTCTTTGTTTAATGTTTAGAAACTATTACGATTTGTAAGTTTGAAAGTCCATATTTCATTTCACTCAGACCTATGATGCTCAGAATGGGTGACAAGAGATTTGCCTTACGTTTCCATAGGCTGGTAGAAGGGAAATGTTCAGATCATATTTATTAGAAAAAGTATATTTAAATAGCAATTGCAATGAGTAAAACTCAAAACAAAAATGAAAACTTCTATAAGAGAGTTGGAGTGATAACAGCATTATGAAGCATGGCATACACGAGGTTGAGAAAATGGATATAAATACCCATGAACTGAAATGTGGCTGGAGCTAAAACTATCCGTGAGTGTTACTAGCGGAGCACCTTAGAAGAGTTTTTCCTATACATCGCGTAGCCACAGTAACTTTGTATATCCTATGTTAAATTTAGCAGCAAGCAATGACTATTCTTTCTCAAGGAGAAAATTGTATTTTCTACAATATAGTAGCTTTCAGGCTTTTTTCACTTTGACTTATCACTTGGCTGCAGGGAAGGAAATTCAGAATACTCATTAATGTGCTTCAGGCATATAGGAAAAATGATTCCATTTCCATGAGAAATAACTTTAAATTATTTAAGTAGTTTGAGTTTCCTATGTAAGGAGAATAAAACCATTTTTAAAAATCCATTTACCTTCTTTTGTAAAATGCCAGATCAATTTCACATGTCAATGAGGGTAATTTCATTTTTAATACCAGGCTTATGAAACCTGGTATTGCTTTATTTTTATTCATTGCTAGATCTTTAGTTCTTAAATATAAAATAGAGAAATGTCAATTTTCATTTTGCTTTCATTTAGTCATAATAATAATTGGAGCTATTTATTGCAAATGTTAGTGTTTCTATTTTCTTCCTAGCTTACGTGAGCTCTTATTTTCTCTTGAATACCATTAAAGGGAATCTTTCCTGCAATTCTAGTTCAATCCCTTACCCATAAAAACTCAATCCATAAATATCTCTCTCAAATATTTGTGTAAAAATGTTTTCAGTTTTATTTTTCTCTAGCTTTAAATTATGAATTGAGATATTACCTATGAAATGAAGAAAGTGGTGAAGTCCTGCCCAGATACCCCAGTAGAGCTGAAATATAATGCATGCACACCTGAACTGGATTTAAAGAATAACAATAAACTATGGATGGGAAACTGTATCTCTCCCATCTTCTAATACATAACAGGATTTATGAATTTATACCAGGCACTCATATAGCATTAGATTTAATTTGGATGAATAAGAAGGGGTTGAGAAGAAGTCTTTAAATAGTTATGAAATTGTACTATAACTTAACAGTCATGAACATTCACAGACTACATGATATTCTAGATCCTGAAAGAAAAGACTTAATTTTCAAATATGACTCCTTCCATTTTTCTTTCCGCTAATCCAGTGGTTCTCAACCTTCTGGCCCTTTAAATACAGTTCCTCATGTGACCCAACCATAAAATTATTTTCATTGCTACTTCATAACTGTAATGTTGCTACTGTTATGAATCGTAATGTAAATATCTGATATGCAGGATGGTCTTAGGCGACCCCTGTGAAAGGGTTGTTCGACCGCCAAAGGGGTCGCGACCCACAGGTTGAGAACCGCTGCGCTAATGGGACCCACACGCTGTTGTTGAAAATAGACATCAGTCATATGAGTGAAGGAGGCACATAGATGGCATCCAGTAGACGTGTGCTAAATGAAGCCTACTTATAAGGATTGTTTATTGTCCATCTTAATTTTTTGTACTTTTTCCTACCTTGGTCTTTCCTGTTGTTTAATGCTCAAATCTTATTTGAATGTCTGTTATGACTGTCCTCCATCTTTGGTACATACCCAACTTTCCTTTTCATTCAGAATAATACATACACAATAGACTGGACTTTCACCATTAGATTAGAGAGGATTAAATAAAAGCGTAGTGAACCTTAAGAGTCTTATGGGTAGAAACTTACCCCACAATTTCCTCCTGGAAGTTTTTTTTTTTGAAATGATATTTCTTATATGAACTTGTTCCTTAGGTTCTGCAATACAGCATTGTATGAAAAGAGTCAACAAATTTAATAAGCATTGCTGTGACTTGAAGGGTTAGGTGCTGGTTCAAACAAAACCAATTACTGTAGGAAGGAGATATGGAGAAACTATTAGAATAAGACAGAAGCTACTAACATAGAATCCATGAACCCTATATGGTCACTGGATGGACTCAAGAGATCTTTGAATCTTGAAATTACATGGAAATGTTGTGTGTTTGTGCACATGGACATTTTCCTGCATTTTTATGCCACATCTTTCATAGATGTCAAAGTGGTTCTAAATTAAGACAAAGAAATAAATTAAAGCATCTGAGCTATAAAAGAAAGAGGGATCACAAAAGAGAAAGGGGAATATGTTGGGGAATGATTGAAAGTTTTCCACAATTGTCAGATACAACCAATTGGCATTAATTGTTATGGCTTGTCTAGCCCTTTAGGGGGGAAATATATATATATGTTTATTGCACATTTAGAGTTATTAAAAATAATCACACATTAATAATACAAACAGCCAAGACCGGTTTGGCTCAGTGGATAGAGCGTCGGCCTGCGGACTGAGGGGTCCCGGGTTCGATTCCGGTCAAGGGCATGTACCTGGGTTGCGGGCACATCCCCGGTGGGGGATGTGCAGGAGGCAGCTGGTCGATGTTTCTCTCTCATCCATGTTTCTAACTCTCTCTATCTCTCTCCCTTCCTCTCTGTGAAAAATCAATAAAATATATTTTTTTTAAAAAATAAAATAATACAAACAAAAAATAAGTTTAATAAAACTATATAATTCTATCTTAAGCCATCTTAATTAGATTTTGTGAAAGCTGGGTAATGGAGCTCCCAAAATTACTTGCTGAATTGTAATGTGAATTTGTAAATAGGCTCATCAAGGCTGAAAGCCTAATGAAGCTTCTCTAAGTTGAGCCACCTTATTAAAACAAGAACAATATAAATAAATAATATATATCTGGTGAATTGGCTTTATTTGCTAAATGAACATTGTTATTAGATGGTAAATAGGCTATAAAATGGATAGAAAATCTTACACATTATCAATATATATTATTAAAATAAAAGCCAAAATCTCTTCCCATTAAGAAGTTTTCCCTTTCATTAAAACTCATCATTGCTTTTGCTATATCTATAAACAAAGGCTGGAAATGTTCCCCTTTCCTTAGAGTACCCTTTATTAGCGGCAAGAGACAAGCAATAAGCAAGTGAATATAAAAATATCAGCCATAAATTCAAGTAGTAATAAGTAATATGATAGAAAGTAAACCATAATAAAAAGGAAGAAAATGGATAGAACAAAGAACCTTAATACATATTGTCAGATTTTGACTGTGTAGATATGATAGAACTATAAATCGAACTTATTAATTTAGGAGTACTCTAAGATGTAAATTTTAAGCATAAAGAATGTTAATTAATAAAAAATCTATCAACCAAAGAACAGAAGTCTTAAAAAGATCTAAAACATAACAAAATTATACTTTATGACTCAAAAATTTCTATTTAAAGCCAAAAAATATGTCACTAAGTCATGAATTTATATCAGGAGGTTGATGAGGTCATTTTTACATGTTCAAAATATGGACTCATAGACTCATAGATGGACTCTCCT